TACCAAATGCCACGAAGCGTCCCAAGCAAGACTTCTTTTATCATCTGGTGCCCCAGACACCACCCCGCTTCGAAAAGATTGTGAAAAGGCGAAGACCCCCTAGCCTCACTTCCTACCTGACAGAAATCTAATGTGTTACAGTACTCCCGGGAGGACCCCTCAATTTGCCCCTGTGCTGCAGCCGCCCCTTTGCGGGGTCGGCGGCAGCGGCGGCAGCCCTTAAATAACCCCAACATACTATAGCATCTTCCAGTTTACTGTCAATTCTCCCCATATAACCACAACATGCTACAGTAGTTTCCATTTGGTTTTCCATTTCCCAATATTACCCCAACCCTAAACCCTAAATAGTAGTTTCCATTTTCTTTCCCAATCTACTATAGTCTACTCACAGAGCAAGAGGTGAGCCAGGGAGTTGGCTGCAAAGACGCAGTAGCGCAGACAAAAAACTTAGCATTCCAGACTTCAAAGTTGCACATGCCCAAACTCTGCAGGCAAACTAGGGCTTAGGGTTTTAGGGTTTGGGATTTAGGGTTTAGGGTTTGGGGTTTAGGGTTTGGGGTTTAGGGTTCTTGGCAAACTACTGTCAACCAAAGACGCGACGGGCCTTTTGCACCGGGGCCTTCCAGAACCTTCCGCACCTCGTGGCCACAGCAAGTTCTAGCAGGAGTGAAAGCTTGCAAGCGCCATTTGCTCGGAGTCGCAACCGACAGCCTAAATAACCCCAACATACTATAGTAGCTTCCATTGTATTTTCAGGTCTCCCTATATAACCCAATATACTATAGTGGCTTCCATTTTATGTTCAATTCTCCCTATATAGACCCAATATACTATAGTAGTTTCCATTGTATTTTCCATTTTAAGCGCCATAAGGTTGGATGCTTGCCTGAAGGGTCTTGTCTTCTGCATCTTCAACCTGAAAATAGTGGGACCCCAATGTAGACCCCTATATACTATCATGACTGTAATATATTAGGGTCTATATTGGGGTCCCACTATTTTGGGACGCTGTCTGTAAATGGGGGTTCGGGAGGCATCTACAATTTCTGACTTCCATGCATGGGGCCATTCCCCCTTACAGTAACTGTTACCACAATGGGTTACAGGAGTTATAAGAACCCCCTTAATAAGGCCCCTTTAAGGACACTTACTGGGAGGGGGAATGACCCAATCCATGCCCATGAAAGCTGCCTCCGACAAGTCAATGGTGACTTTACCTTGGCTGTAGAAGCACAGCAAAACTCTCAATAATCTGCGCTACACAGAAATATAGGGGTTTTCCAAAATTAGGGGTACCTTTTTGGGGGTCCCCATATTCAGGATTATAGTATTTTGGGGTCTATATTGGGACCCCCCCATTTTGGGAAACTACCATATGTGAGCTATAATCAAAACTCCTAGTATCCCCCGTCATAACCCCTGTACTACTCCCCAGATAATCTCCTAAAAAAAGGCCCTTGAAGGAGTTTAGACTATGGCTCATGTGATATTCTGCGCATTGGGTGCTGCAAAGCTGTCTGCCAGCCCTATGGGGCCATCTTGGAACACAGTAGGGTATAATATGGGGAGTATATAAGGATGATGGAAAAGAAGATGGAAAGTACTATCAGATAGGGAGAATGGATAAGAAAATGGAAGCGATTATCATGGGGTTATGTAGGGTGTAGGGTGTAGGGTTTACAGTTGGGATTATATAGGGATGATGGAAAAGAAACGGAAACTACTATAGTATAAAAGGGTATAACATGGGGGTTATAGGCTTGCCAATTCTGCCGGCAAAGGCGCCAAGGGAAGTTTTATCCTCCTTGGAGACTTCGACGCTGACAGTGCCACCTGCAACAGATCAACGAAAAGCCATCAATCGCGCGCACCTTCGGAGCGCATCCCTAGCACGTCAGAGAGAGGGCGCTTGCAGAATGTCATCCATCGAAATTGGATGAAATAGGATCTAGCATGTCTCGTCTCAGAACACTGTCTGTTAGCCTCAGAATGTTGCTCTCTGTCTTTTTTTTGATTGCTTTGCTAGGGGCTTGGTGGGGGGTTCCCACCCGGTTACGGCCAGCCCCAACGTCTGAGTTCGGTTGCACTGCGTGGGAAGATGAGTGCATATCATTGAGGGTTCTCAATCACAGCAAGCTGATGATCCCGGGCAAGCAGGAGAAACAGGATTGGTAACAACAATGGGTTCTGGAACCCGTTGACTTAGATATTCCCTGCGTGGAAGGAATTAGCGTTCCAAAAGTCACTACCACTAATGCGATAGCATGAAACAGCATGGCAGGGGAGAGTAATGTTCATTGCACTCTTCTTCTTTTTCTTCTATGGGCTATGCTCACCTCTCATGAAAAGCAGGGGCGCAACCCCAAGCTCGAATTGGTCTTTACGGTCTGTATGGTTGGATTCATTGCACTCTGTCTTTACTTTGCGCTAGGGGTTTTGTGCCGAAGCACAGGCCTACGGCCGCCCAGCTTGGTCTGGTCGGTGTTGTGAGACCCTGGAGTTCCTTGAATCGATATGGGTTTAGGGTTTAGGGGTCAGGGTAAGCAACAAAATAAACAAAGGGATAATTTTCCCTCTCGCTTCTAGGCGTGCCCCTTTGCGAATCCGGCAGCTCTCAGCAAAGGAAGTATAGTTACCGTAAACACGGCATGGGTCAACATCGTGTTCAAGGGAAAGAAATATACACCGGTTGAGGTGTCTACTCATATGCGGAGGTTCGCCAGTCACTGCTGCGATTCCAAACGAGGACTCCAACCAGGCATTCAAACGAGGACCTCTACAAGTGAAAGGACCCCTACAGAACAACAGTTAGCGGGAGAACGATTGCACTCTGTCTGTCTCTGGCGCTCTCGCTCTCTCTCTCGCTTTCTCCTCTGCTTCTTCTTCTTTTCTGCGGGCTTTAGGTCACGCTACTGCCCCCCTGACTTACTCCCCAAGCCCAAGCGCACGTTCCATCATGGTCAGGGACTCAGGAGGGCCAACACACCGCATGAACACTGGTCGTTGATACAACTAAGCAAGCAGAGGGCATCCTACCATACTTACTCCAAGGCTTCCACAACGACCTGCCTACACACATCTTTTCTTCTCAACTGAGCTGTGAACCCAAGTTTTCCCAGTGCCCCCCTCTCTCTTTCTCTCCTCTTTTTTGGGGCTTCCTGACATTTGCTACATACTTAATGTTGAGCTGCTAAATAGCGCTTCGAATGCCATGAGCTCGGGCCTGGGTACTCCAGCAGTCTGTGAAATGACTGGTACCAGACCTGAAAGCACTGCCAGGGTAGACAAAAAATTCCCCTGTTACCCCTCTATAATTGAGAATCAAATGGAACAAAAAATGGAAAATGACATGGAAATTAGGGAGGAACATAGTCCTCCTTAAGTAGATAGACTAGCTCAAAACTCCGTACTTCATCTTTCTGAGAAGGTCACCACTTGAAGGCTTCGCTGCATCTCCACCAGCAGCTTGACCTGCCCCTCCGGGAGGCCTGCACACCAACCCTCGGTTTAGGGTTTAGGGTTTTTGGGTCATTGTAGTTCTGCAATGCTTAAATGGGCAAGCAGTTCGGCAAGTGTCTCATGCAGCGGTTGGGACGAATCCTTCAGAACAGGACGTTTTTCAAGACAATGATACCTTTGCATAGGAGATGGTCACAGATAGAGGGCCAGGCAATGAAGTCTGTGGCACATAGGATTTTCCTGAGATTAGAACCCTGAAGCCTAAACCCTGAGCCCTAAACCCTAAACTTGGCATTAAAGGCCTTCTAGGTACCTGATCTCGGACATAGATGCTCACGATCATCCTCTGGAAGTTGTGAGCAAGACCACAAATACATATTCTTTTCCAGAATTATAACTATCATGACTAATCACTATTATTGCTATTATTGCTATGCCGTTTCGCAGCTGTCTCAAGCTTCCTTGTCTCTCAGACCTGTCAGACCTTCCAGCATGTGGGTTGCCACTTTCAAAACAGGTCAAGACATACTGTTCTACATTGTCATTCCATCCAAAGTTCGTCTGCAGCCGCTGCACTATATCAGACTAAGCAGGCCCTTGGTACGAATGGTGCATACTTTTGGTCAACGCCCCTGGCCCCTTGCCATTTAAGAACACCAAACTGGCGGAAGCGATGCCTGCAATCCTCGCAATCTCGTCATAGGGCATCTTCTTTTCCTGATCGGCATCTGCTCCTCGCCCTGTACTAGCACTTGCATGCACATGAACTGCTCAGATGCCGACCACTGCAAGGCGCTCAATCATCAGCTGCGAGTGCATGCTGACGTTGTGCAGGTAGCTACCTGATTCAGGCGAAAGAAGGGGTACCTTTTCGGGGGGGTCTCCATAATAAGGATATGGTATTTTGGGGTCTATATTGGGGTCCCCTTATGTTGGGAAACTACCATTTCAATGCCCAGACACCTTTTGGATTGGTTTGCGATGCCCCCCAGGCCCGTGCCTGAACAAATCACGCACTAACAGCCGGGACATATGAGCCATAGTCTAAACTCCTAGTATCCCACTTAATATCCCCTATAGTAGTCCCCTATATAATCCCCTATATAACCCCCTTTAAGGAGTTTAGACTATAGCTCATATAGCGAAGGGAGGAAAAAGGCACTGTTGAACCCACCTTCTTTGTCTTCATTGGCGGCTGTTTCAATGTGCCGCCCGACCGGCTCGACATCCACCTCAGGCTCTGCAGGTCTAAGCCAGCAATGCTCTCACATCATGCGTTCCCCTACTACCCCCCAGGTTCTCCCCAGAATTGAAGAAGTTTTGGGATACTTAGGCTTGAGGTTATTTAAGGGGGGAACCTAGGGGCGTAGGGGAATCCCCTAAATCACAAGACTTCTACCCCCTAATGTTCAATACTCCCCAATATACTGGAATATACCACAGTGGAAAATATTTAAGATTATGAAGGGCGTGGTGACTTCTGGGCTCCAACCCTAAACGGTAAACCCCTAACCCCCAAATCCTAAACCGTAAACCCCTAAACCCTAAACAACTGAGCTCCAAGCAGGTTCAGGGTCTCCAGGCCCTTCTTCCACAGCCCACCCTTGGAGTTCTTCAGGCTCTAGGGATGCTTCAAGCAAAGGCTTCGGGCTAAGGGTTTAGGGGGGTTTAGGGGTTTAGGGGTTTAGGGCTGAGGGGTTTAGGGCTGAGGGTTTAGGGATTTAGGATTTACGTAGGGGTTTAGGGTTTAGGGGGTTGGGGCTTAGGGTTTAGGGGTTTAGGGGTTTAGGGTTTAGGGGTTAAGGATTTTAGGGGATTAAGGTGCAAGGCAATGATTTGTCCCCTCCCCCTAATACTAAATACCCCCAATTATGTGGTATGATATTGTATATTGGAGAGTATTTGATATTCAGGGTGGGTTTAATATTAATTAGGGGAGGGGACTACCATAATATAGCAATATAGTATAATAGAATATATTTTATGGATTTCTATAAACACCTTTATGCATTATCTGTTGCAGATGGATGCAGCCGAGCAGCCTTCTTCTCCTATATTGGCTCATTGGCGCTAGCGGGAGTTTCTTCAAATTAGGGGTGCCACTTTAGGGGCCCCTATAATAAGGACTACAGTATTCTGGGGTCTATATTGGGGTCCCCTTATTTTGGGAAACTACCATGTGAGTTCTACTACATGTCATCGCGGTGGCGCAGGTGCTTGCGCTTGAATGTAACGAGCCCCTATGTGCTGAACTGACTCCAGAGTGTTCAGAAATCAGAAAGCTTCAAAGACCGACCTGCAGCAAACAAGACCTGGATTTGTGGCCTCTTCAGCAGACTTACCCAGACCAATCTGTTGCAGAGTGCAAGCCGCAAAGGCAGACCGCCATTCCATACCAAGGCCTTGTTGAAGTTCTTGGGCGGTTTCCCGGCATCGATGTTTACGTACCTCAGGTTGGCAAAGGTCACTTGGCGTTGCACTCAACAATTTGCCCTTGCCTACTCTGCATAGCAGCTGTAAGGATTTCTGCGGCTGCACAGATGGGGACTCGTCTGCCAGCAGGTGGCGCAGTTGTGTACATGACTTCGTCCACAAACTCGTCCGGTGACTCTATGCCCATGAGCCTCCAGTCAAGCAGGCGCGTTGATCGTCTGTGCCGGTAAGCAGGGCCAGCTACATGCTTAAATGGAATTGCATTGGACAAACAAATCAGGTGTGGCAAAAGCTTCCGCCACGCTTTGTGATACTGTTCACGTGCCCCTGCCCTCGATTCTACAAATCGACCTGCCCTGGTAGCCGCATGCACACAACGCACTTGGCGTGCTTACACTGGCAGATAAAGCACATCTGCACAGAACCCCAGAGATCGTATCACTCCCTTTACAAGACTTGCCATGATAGTGTTATCAAGTCGGGCAGCTTCACGGAGACTAGCCGCAGCAACTGGGTGTAGTCCACTGAGAGCTGGCGTGGGCCACCCAACCTGAGGTAGGCTTGCTAACTTGTGCGATGCCTGAAAGTCACTACCTTCAATAAGGTGTTAGCAAACCTGGTCGCCAACAATCTGGTGCCTGTGTCCTAAACCCTAAACCCTAAACTGCTCAGAGCAGTATGTCTCCAGCAAAAAGCCTGACCGGTATAGCTTCCACCTTACCACCCGAAGAAGGCTACTTAGAACATGGGGTATATATTGGGATTATATTGGGGCATATTGGGACAATGGAAAATAAAATGGAAACTGCTATAATGGGTTATATGGGTGAGTGTTTGCCCCCGCTTCCTTCGACCGATTAGGCACGGGCTGCAGGAGTTGTCTTAAATGATCTGAATGAAAGTGGCTTCTGACTGTGGCTGCTAGATGCTTCTATGCTTCCACTACATTCCACTACTATACAGTACCCCCTAGGCCCTACCTGTGTCCCCGATTATTTACAATTTTAGGGGTTATACCTACTTATTCTGTAGGTAATTGGGGTTACAGGTAGGCCCTAGGCCCTAGCTTGCCATGGGCGGAGCAAAGGTTGGTCCCTCCTGCTGCCGATGCACTCATGTTCTGGCCCATCAGGTAGCGAATCAACCACCCCCATGTGCGACACGAGCTTCCTCACCTCCAGGAATTCCTGAGACTCAGAAAGGTATCTCAGAGTTGTTGCGCACCTGTGTTTGCAATGTGGTTCTGTAAAGGGTCAGCCGCATAGCCCTCAAAACAACATGGGCCCCTCAAAATCTGAAGTTCCGATTTAGAATAGAGGCACTACTCAATTTTCGTTCTGGAGGGCAATCCATCGTTCGCCCCTGGCACATGCATGCTTGCTTCCAGCATATGGATGCATTCTGCCAAGTCTCTGTGGAGAGCAGCACTTCCATCTTCCTTGGTGTGGCAGCCGATCCACTGAAGTTCAATACTGTAATGGGTTATATAGGGTATTTATTGGGATTATATTGGGGTACATTGGGATAATGGAAAAATAAAATGGAAACTACTAGGATTACATTGGGATAATGGAAAATAAAATGGAAACTACTATAAAGGGTATATATTGGGACTATATTGGGGTACATTGGGATAATGGGAAATAAAATGGAAACTACGATAATGGGTTATAGGTTATATAGGGTATATATTGGGACCCCACGCTCTGCAAGGTGCTTGTAAACCAGAAAGAAATGGTAGCTTCCCTAAATAAGGGGACCCCAATATAATTCCCAAAATAGTATGATCCTCATTATTCATTATCAGAGCCCCAAAAACCCTAAACCCTAAACCCCAAACCCTAACCCCTAATTTTGGGAAACCCCCAAATGCTTCCAGGAGGCTTCGATGGATCCGGCATGGCTTTCTGGGCCTCTGGAGTGAGGATCATGCCCAGCCAGTCTTTGCCTGCAAAAAACCCAGCTGCGGTTGACTGGTTGTAGGGTTTAGGGTTTAGGATTTAGGGCTTAGGGATTAGGGTTTCGGGGATGTAGGGGGTTAGAAAGGTGTATATTGGTATAATGGAAAAGAAAATGGAAACTACTGTTTAAGGTTGAGGGTTTGGGGGGTTCCCAAATTTTGGGGGGTCCTTATAATAAGGATTATAGTATTTTGGGGTCTATATTGGGGTCCCCTTATTTTGGGAAACTACCATCTGGATCTAGGGATCTAGGGTTTCGTCTCTGGAATTTAGGTCCTTGGGTTTCGGGCTTAGGGTTTAGGGATGCGTGTGTAAAGCTCCCGACAACTCAATTTCTAAACCATGAGCACTACTGATAATCAAGTGCCGTCGGTGATAAACCCCTACCGTATCCAACAAGGCTGAACAGATTCAGTTGAATTTGGGATAACAAGAGCATGACGAACATGACAACAGCTATGGGGGTCAAAATACCCAGAACCAGAAACCAGCCATCTCTCCCAAGGTCGACCTGTTTGTGTTTTATTGGCTGGGCTTTTATCAAAGTCCTGCAACTCTCAGTCTGCAATTGTGGGTGAGCAACAATTGTCGCGAACGCTGGGTTGAAGCCTCTTCCGGTCCCGGGACTGCAAGCAAGATTAATCCAACCAAGGTATTTTAGCTCAAGAATTCCCAGCAATGGTCGTAGACCACACTTTTTTTGAGTTGTGACTCTTTGCTGTGCATCGCACATCTTTGCTTGCTTGCACTCTCTCTGGCTTTTTACCGACAAGCCAAAGTTCTTAGCTCAGTTTGATGACCTTATACTTCCCAAATCGCTATTCCATGTTGCTTCTGTGTATTGGCTTTCCGGTCCGACGACTGTTTGCAAACTCCACCGCGTGCTGTATTTTGCGGCGTTCCCGTGCTCTTGATGCTCATGTCGCAGCAGAATGCTGATCACGCAAGGTGAGATGATTTGCCCTCCAGAAGAGGCCGACTGACTAAATCCCGTGCAATAAAGGTGTGTGGTTGGTACGTATTAGTGCTGCAGGGCGATGAGCCAAGTCATCGACAAAACAGCAGAGGGTGCAGTATCAAGCCCCTGCAGTACAATGACAAAGCTGTGGAAATATGCGGTTTCTGACCGCCAACATGTACCTGCATGGTGACTCATGACGTTGGCAATGGCTACAGTTATAGAGTCCCTCCCACTCTTCTGCGTGCACAAGTAGCCTTGCTCCTGCAACTAGCCCTAGACCCTAAACCCTAAATAGCAGTTTCCATTTCATTTTCCATTATCCCAATCTAACTCCTAGGATCAAAAGCTTCTTTTTGAAGACA